GATAGCTCTTCTGGGTCAAGGGACATTGTTAGCTAAATCAGATATTAAGTCAGCATTTAGACTTATACCAGTCGCTACCTCCGACTTTGACTTACTAGGTTTTAAATTCCAGGATAAATACTATTTCGATAAAATGATGCCCTTTGGTGCCTCAATCAGTTGTGCAGTCTGGGAAAAATTTGCTACTGCGTTGCACTGGATAACCCAGAATATCTTACGTAACCCAAATATCTTACACTGCCTGGATGATTTCTTATTCGTAGGCAAACCGCATTCTCAACAGTGTAACAACACTCTTTCTACATTCCAAAATATTTGTCAAGAGTTGGGGGTCCCAATAGCAAACGAAAAAACTACAACCCCAGCCACGAGTTTGACATTCCTTGGTATAGAACTAGACACAATAAAAATGGTAATGAGACTCCCACAAGACAAGTTAACCCATCTTAAACACACTAATCCAAACTTGTTTGTCTAGCAAAAAGATCACCCTTAAATCCCTACAATCCCTTATTGGCCTGCTTAATTTTGCCTGCAAGGTAGTGGCACCTGGGAGAGCATTCTGCAGGAGGCTGATTGATGCAACCATGGGCATTCGTAAGCAGCATCATAAGTTAAGAGTTACTTTAGAAATGAAGGCTGACTTGCTAGTATGGTCAAAATTCCTACAAAATTACAATGGGGTCACAGTATATCAAACAACACTTGGACATCAGATACTTACTTACAGCTATTTACCGACAGCGCTGGGGGGCAAAACGGGGGGTTCGGAATCTTTTTCTCTGGAAGTTGGGCTTATTCAAAATGGCCACATGAGTGGGTGCAATCTGAAATCATCCCAGATATGACATTTTTGGAATTATTCCCAGTATATGTTGCAATACTGATCTGGCACGACTCTCTAGCAAACAAACGTATCTTGTTCCGCATAGATAACATGGCTGTGGTACAGGTCTTGAACAACTCCACATCCAAATCTAACAGAGTCATGAGAATTGTTAGAGAGTTGGTCCTTATCACTCTATATCACAATAAAAGCACAGCATATCCCATCTAAACAAAATTCTATAGCAGACTGCATTTCTCGTTCACAGTGGAAAAAATTTCACCAGCTGGCACCAGATGCAGAACAGTGGCCCACACAACTTCCACCCCAGATTTGGAATGTTTGGTCGCCGAATCCGAACGCCTATTTCAAACATCTTTGTCACATAACTCTAAACAGGTTTATAACACAGCCCTTAAAAAATTCCATGGCTTTCTGAAATCATACAATCTCAAAGAAATTTGGCCCATACCCACCGATATAATCCTCAACTTTGTTGCTTATCTGTCAATACTAGGACTTTCCGCAAACACAGTGGAACTTTATGTACGGGTACTCTCCTTCTACCATAAGCTAAAAGGACTACAAGATACCACTAAGTCATTTCTGATAGCCAAAGCACTTGAAGGTCTCAAACGCACAATAGGCAGGGCAGTTGATACCCGCTGCCCAATCACCGGCCCCCTGCTGAGAGAGTTAATCTTGTCTCTCTCCTCAATATGCTCCTCACCGTATGAAGCCACATTATTCACCTCCGCTTTCTCTCTTGCTTATTTTGGCTTACTTAGGGTAGGGGAATTCACTATCACAAACAAATTGAAGTACTCACACTGCATAAAATTGCAAAATTTAACAGTACACAATCAACAGTCACATATCAAAGTAACTATCCCTCGCTCAAAGACAGATCAAATAGCCCATAAAACAACACTTATCATTTCCAAAGAGTCGGAGATGGTCTTGTGTCCTGTTCGAGCTACCAGCAATTATTTGAGCATTCGCCCCTCTACATCACCAGCAGACTCTTTTTTCATCCATGTTAACTTGAAACCTTTAACAAGATACCAATTTAATGCAGTCCTCCAGAAAGCCCTTATCTCTATAGGTAAAAAAGGGCATTTCTATACCCATAGTTTCAGAATAGGGAGGGCAACAGATATGGCCCTACACGGGATGTCAGATGAATTCATAAAAGCATCAGGCAGGTGGAAGTCTAAAGTTTACTCCTCTTATGTCAGAATGTAGTTAACTGGTAATTCCCTAAGTCCACAATTTATAATATATTTAAAAAAAAATAACTTCTACTAATCCAAGCAAAGTTTTTCAGGTATTCTGAAAAACATTTGGATAGTGGGATCCTCAATCCCTTTCTGGGCCGGAGAGTTGGCCGCCACGCAGCCGGACAGGAACCTAAACCTACCAGCCAGCATCAAATGGCATGCGATAAGGGGACTGCATTGGCAACAACTCGATCCACAAATCTTGAAATTGCTGAAAAACTCCACACCCCCTTAATTTTTAGTTATTCAGTTAGGTTCAAATGACTTGACAACAGAAGGTTTGACTAGGAAAAAACTTATAGAAGAAATACAGTGCACATTCCTGCGCTACAATGCACTATTACCCAATACTAAATTAGTATGGTCCTATATATTACCCCGTCTCTACTGGCATGGGGCCCCACTTAACTGCGGAGGCAAAATTGATAAGAAAAAGAAAAAGATCAACAGAAAAATCAGATCATTTGTTTTGGACTTAGGTGGAGCTGTTATCTCTCACCATAACATATCTGTAAAGTCTATAGAGTTATTTAGATTTGATGGGACACATCTCTCAGAGATGGGTAATCACTTGTACCTTCATAATCTCCAAGGGGGGCTATCAACATTTTTGCCCAATACAGCCATGAAATTTCCTTAGAGGTTTTTCTACATTAGATCCATTCCCAAATGATGGGATTACATGGGTAAAGAAGTTTACAGTATAGGTAGATGGAGGAACATTATATCAATGTTTATGGCGGGTCTGGGGGGACCTAAGGGGGGTTTTGGGGGGCCTGTGTTTCCCCCATCTGTCAACTAAGACAGAGGGCAGGTCTTGTTTAGTGGGGAAAGTATTACCCCTTATGTAGTGTATGGTTGGGGTTCTACAAGTTTAAGCCATACTTGGTGCCCCCTTCACCTCTTTTAAGTCGCCCGCGTGGCGCAGTGGTTAGAGCGTCTGCTCTACAGTCGCGGTGTAAGGAATTGATCCTTACGTCGCGGGTTCGAATCCCACTGTGGGACGTGGAGACCGGTCCTTCGGATGAGACCGTATAAACCGAGGTCCCGTGTCGCAGTAGGTGCTGGCACGAAAAAGATCCCTCACTGCTCAATGGCCGTAAGTGCCGAGTATAGGACAAAATTTGCAGCTTTCCACCGGCAAGAGGTGGCGTCTCCATATGAGTGAAAAATTCTCGAGAGGGACGTTAAACAACAAACAAACAAAAACCTCTTTTAAAAGGAGGGAAGGCTCACAGTCTGGAGTACTCAGTGTCAGTAAGTACTATCGAACCAGGGAGCAATCCTTTGGAAACATGGTAAACAGATATGTCCCAGGCCATTCCCGTCCACATGCTAGTTGTCAAGCATTGGGACTTCACTGGCACTTGTGCTCAACACAAGGCCTCCGTCATGCCCGTTATGCACCTTTGTGTGCTGGTATTTCGGTCGTAACCCCAGACCTCCTATAAGATGTGGGGACAATGTGGCCTTTTATCTCCAATGTCCATAGACTGTTCAGTGATTGTTGTATTGGAAATGTTGTGATTATAATAATTTGTGTAATAGTACTGTTGCTTAGTTGAATAAATGTGAAATGAATTTGACAGTCTTGTTTTACATTCCTTAAGGCATAGGAATAGTGGAAAGCTAATCCACGGTATGAATTGTAGTAAAAATGAAGTATGGTTCTATGTAGAGTTAGCAAGCAACTCAAATACTAAGAAAATTGGTAATGGTTGAGTCAACATCCAGACTGCTCAATTAATAGATTTTAAAAATTCAGCATAGATGTAGAACATTTTGGGGGAAAGAAAAATTATCCCTTCTACCTACCGATCCATTTTTTTTATTCTGACTCGAGAGAGGGCAAACAAATTTAAAAGATGGCCCAACATATAAAACAATGAGTCAACGGTTAGAAAGTTATTTAATTGGACCAGATTTGTGACAGGTGTATGTCTCGTTAGACCAACGGACAGGAACTCAAGTCAATATGTGTAGTTTACTCTTGTTCGAATTTAGCTCTTCTAATCAAACTTTCCAAAATTATAGCCCCCTCCCCTCCTCCCGGAAAAAAGGAATTTAACATACCAACAACGTGCAACTCTGCATCATTATAAATATGACTGTAACATACCCATCAGAGAATACTAGAAGGCAACGTCATACTTATGTGTAATTTAGTTTAAGGACATGGGATACTCAAAAACTTTTCTAGAAAAGTTTAAACAGTTTGTTTTATGACGTTTTCCCATAAAGGTATCCCTATTATCTATTATCCCAAAAATCTTCTTCTTATATCTATATTGAAATTTTATGGAAACCATGAAGAAATTGAAATATCCCAAAATACCGTTATAGCTTATTTTAAATTTAATGTATTTCCAGGATTCTATAATTGATTTACATTCCTATTTGATCACATAATTTGATATCTAATTGTTATCAGAGAAAGGGTTATCTCAGGCTTGGAGTTTTTTCTGTATATTCTTAAATACAGAATAAGGATAGATTATAAGGCAAAACATGGTGGTGAATATGCGTCTTAGCAATAATAAAGTATGTTCAAACTGTTTTAGAGATTTCTATATGGCAATTTTGTTTTTGTATCATATGTCCTTAATCAAAGGTTTCTAAATTATAACTTAAACATACTGCTGACAATGATAGATGTCCTTGTTCTTTGATATATAACCTTGAATGGGATCATGATCGACGCATATTTAGTAAGAAACAATCACAGGTTTGGATTCGTTTCAATCAGAAAGTTTTAAATGTTAAACCTGGAAATAATTAGTTTACAAAAAAAAAAAAAAAAAAAAAAAAAACAAACCATAAACACCCATGGAAAAATGAAATATTTCCTCGTCAATATTTAAAGTTGCAAACATGGTATGACAAGAAAAACAGAAAACAATAAAATATTTTATTACAGAAAAGGTAGCGGTTCAGGTCAAATCAACCTTCATCATCAGGAAGCAATCAAACTTAATAAATAAATTATCATATCAATACAATCACATATAACAATTCAACAATAAATCATGGTGTTCCCTGCGCAGCAGACGATAACATTATATAAATATTTAGACCAAGGGTCAGAGAACTTTAATCCATCAGTTCTCCATTTTCTAAATATATTAGTAACTACAATATTCCTAGCTATTTTTCATGAAATAATTTTCCCAGTTGAATCACTTAAAGATAATTCACAAGGTTATTGTATTCAATTTTGGACGGAAGCAGATTTTTCCAAAAAGTAACCTCCCGTTTCCTCTGAAAATTTTATCTTGGTGTTGGCGCTGACGGATTGTTAAAAGATCTGAAAACGAGAAAAAACTTCTTATCAAGATAAAATTATGAAAAGTATCAAATTAACATTTTTTTTCAAGTTTTGAAAATAAATTCCCATATAATTTGATTGCTCATCATGAATAAATTTGCAGATGGATACACAAAATCTCTTATCTTCAAAAAATAACGTGCAACTCTTGAAGAAGATAAATAATAATTAAAAGAAAAATAAAGAATCAATTTAGATAATTCATAACAGGTTTCACGTCCAGACAAAAGAATTCGAATTATTAAAGTAGATTCAAGAAATGATAAAAATTCTCAGAAATGATCCTTTCTAATTTTAGAAAAATATAAATTAAAGTTGTCGATGACAATCTACTTATGAAAGAGAGAGAAAAAAGAAATTTGAATTATTTTACTTAGAAGAATGTTTCATATACCCAGTTTAATAGACAGATGTATAGTACGTGAATTGTTTGTGTATATAAGAATAAACATAGAATCAGGTCTCTAATTCCTCACACCTTACCTATTCCGTTCCCTGTAAGTATTTTAAATTTTTCTGAGAAACACACCCTTTTATTCATATTTCAATACAATATTAAACCAAATCACGAATCTGAGAAGCATATGTGTTACGTTACTGTAATACGTGACTTGGAAAACAGAACCTCTATTTGATTTTAATGACAAAAACACGACTATTATGTTAATCATTATTCAACAAAACAAAAATCAATTTTCTGGCAGAATCAGATCAATTTAAAATTTAAAACCTGCCTTTAAGCTTGGGTTTTGTTTCGGTGTTTTATTATTCCAAAGTAGACAAGTATCAGCGTCATTAAGGTCACCTTGTCAAAAACACAGAATTTGGACAACTCATTGTTCAAACAAATTGAATTAAAAATTCAATATTCTTTTCTGTTGTTTTCCCTAGTGTAGGTAAAGCGCTAGCTAGTTATAAGGACATTTATATATAGATTCAAAACGGACATAATTTTTAATCATTTACCAATCAGAAAAAATTCGATATTATTTTAAAAATTCTTACACCTCTTACTTTCTACAGTAGAATGTTTTCTTTCAAATATTGTAAAATATGCATATTCAAAATATAATGCATTCAAGATTTGTTTGCCTAGTTTCGTTGACTCAGGATGAAGTATATTTTTCTATACAAATCAAGTATTTTGGGTAAAAATATTTAAACATGTACTCACCATGTTACAAAGTTTAAAATGATAGCATGCATTTATTTTAAATGCGCAGAAAAAGCCCACTACCTAACATTAGCTACTAGTATCATGAAACATAGGGGCTGGTCTTCCGGATTGTTAAATGTAAAATAAATTAACGAAATTTTGAATCTACTTTAAATACACTTAAAAAGTTGTTACAATAAATTCTGACACTTTCAGACAAGAAATACTATGATTTAAAAACGTACCACACCTATATACATAAACTCTACAAAGGACGAAAGCTCTCATCTTGGAAAAAATACTCCCATCCATTTCAGCACCTATTCCTGGACTCTTAAGCATTAATTTATTATTTCGTTGTCATGATTCTATCACCTACAGTGATGATTTTCCTAAATATTGATGTGTATCTCAGTCGTCAACACGCGTTCAATCTCTAAAAACATCAGAGTTGGGATCATGTGCAATGGAGGAGTAAGCATCCTCTATCGACCTTTACAACCGTCATGTGCTCTTTTTATGATCGTTGACCAGAAAAAACCGTAGACAATTCAGTATGAAAATAATGGCCTAACAATTTGTATGAAAAATGTCAGTCAACATGCGATTTAACGATGCATTGTACTTGCTAACAAGGTCGTTGTATCGACAATAGAATTTGCTGAATGTTGACTTTAAATGAGTTTGCTGCTATCCTTGTATCATCAACTTATTTGTAAATAGCTTGCCTCATCTAGAAATTGTTTGTACGTAGAACATGTCCTTGCCTGGGAGATATAAATCCATATGCAGGTGATAATGGAATATTGCTACATAAATAAGGGAAGTTGACGATATAAAAGATTAAGTTATCACGTTTATCGTTTGCAATCAATGTCTTTCTATAGTAAAATATCCAAATATGAGACAGATGTGTAAGATTTTATGGTGCCTTTTATTTCGAGCTCAAAGGTATATATCGAATCAACGAATTAATGACAATGAATTTTGTTAATTGAAATAACGTCGTCGATACATCTTAATGTCGAATTGAAGGCCACAGCAAGAGACTTCTTCTTTTAATGTAGAAGTTTTTGAATAAATACTGCTTCATTTGAATACAAAAACAGGTCTGTTAAAAACAGGGGGCAATGGGAATTCCAACAGATTGTTGGAAGACCTGTTCTCCAATATTACATAAGTATTCTCAATCAGAAACTCACGCATCTTTTTTTTTTTATTTTACTTTCAGGTGCTTGTGTGTAGAATCAAAATGTAGCATAACCCCACGTATAATAGTATTGTGTTTTTCAGCTCATTTGTGTCAGGTGAGCTTTCAGATATTGCTGTCAGTCGTCTGTCTTTTACTTTTTTCCCCAAGTTCATGTCTTTTCAAAATTCAAACTTTTTACAGAACATCCTCTGATAAAGGAAATAAATCTGATATATTGAAAGTTTAAAATATATATATCAGGGAAACTTATGTCTGACAAATTAAATTGTTAATATAAGTTTAAATTGAAGCAATTAAAACTTTTTTTAAATTAAGAAGCATAAAAATGTACACTCAAAAAGTTAAAAATTTACTGGAAGAATTCCCTGTGACATTTAAGTATGAATTAAGTATCTGTTTCGGAAGTGCATAAATGGAGAACTTCATAATACTCGATGTAACGTATATACTACTAGTAAACTTCTTGATTAAAAAAAACTCGTATATCAGAAACGTGAAAAAAAATTACAGGACCTGCATCAAGAAAGTTCGTCGTTTATGCGCGTTCAAAACCTCAGTCGCGTCTTGTTTGTCGAAAAGAACTTGAAAACATTTTTAATATCAATAAAACTAATCGATTCTTTCTGGCTATAGTGAGTGTGTTTGTATTTTACCTTTGCATAAAGTCTTCATTTAAAAAAAATGACACTGCAAAATATTTGTTTTTGCTAGAAAAGGTATTTGTCATGTAGCCCTGGACTGCTAGGAAATTACGAAATGCGGCAAAGAAAATGTTTAGTCTCCTTATTATCAAAACGGGTAACTTTAGACTAATCGACAGGTATAGATATATATCTATGAAAAAATATCAAAACATTTATCAGTTGTTAATCGGTAGCGATTGAAAAATTCAGTTCAGCTGAACATTAATTTATGCAATCCGTGATTGAAATCACGAGAAATCGACAGGATTAGCTCTAGAAATGTTACTTACCATCGTTTGGGATCAACTTTCGATGACTGTCGTGCATCACAAAAGATGATAAGAGCAAAGATAATTAGAACAAGCTGCAAAGATAAAATTCAAGAAATGAATAATATGGATTTAAAAATAAATCAAACAACAAAACTTTAAATCAATATTATGAAATTTATCAATACATGTTTGCTGTATATCTTAAAATTATAAATATTGTGATATTTGTCTTATATATGCACATAAAAATACTGAAATAAAGTACCAGAATATTGTTTTAAAGATTTCTTTAACCTTATGCTTTTTTATCATCATATTAAGTGGGCTTTCCATAGTGTTACCTGAAAGGCACCGCATCCAGCAATGGAGCCAGCCACTAAAGCTACATTCCCTAACAGCATGCTATATACTTCATCAAAACATCCCTGTAATAAAGTATAATCAAGATCTTCCTTAACCCTCTAATAAGACTGAAGGCACTCTCTTTAAAGAAAGAAAAAATACAAGCTTTTCTTCTATGTGACGTTTTAATGTGTGACTTTTTAATGTTACTGTGTTTTTGTTCAGTGTATGCTGTTGTAAGGTTTGACTTCCAGTTGAATAAGATATACTACAGATCCTATACCTTGGTGTATATGTCTGCTGGTGTTGTTGCACACGTTGGTAACGCTGAGTCCGGAATTGTTATGCAACACGTTATTGGCGCTTTTAGACCGGTTCCGTAATTTGTGTTCCATTTTGCCCCTCCAGTAAAATCGTTGTAACTGTCCACACCACAACATTTAAACTATGAGGTTTATAAAGAGAATTAAATACTCTTTTATTACATTTTATATAAAAAGTCAAAAAAGATTAGAATGTTGTTAAATTTTCGATTATTATTCAAGAGAGTTATCGAGTGAAATGAAATACAAAATAGATAAAGTTTATATAATCTAAATGTGTGAAAGTTTTAAATGCTTTCCTTTTCTTGTTGGATAATGTAATATTATAACTGTATAATGTCACTTTCAATTAAAAACAGCTTACAAATAATTTAAAAGTATCAATTAATTAAAAAAAATCCAGTTTCTTTTTTAGAGTTTGGGTAAAGTTAGAACAAAAGAATTATTACTACTTACAAATTTTTGTTTCTAACTTAAATAATATCATAACAGTTCCATAGTCAGAAACTGATGCCATAGCTTCTTATTCGTGGAAACAATTTTCTGAACCACTTACTTAACTCCTGAGTGATACAAGAAATATTCTAAATTAGCGGATAAGACAATGCATGCAGCTTCTATCTATTGTCATTCTTAATTTATGTAATCATTTTAACTGGGTTTTTACACAAGACAGGTTCATTTAACGGAAATTTGTTCAAAACATAATTTTATAAACAAATAAATATATTGAATTCTGATTAAATTTCCCGTTCTTCCTATGGGATTATTTGGCCTGTATGTACTTAATCTTAGGTTTTAGTGTATCAAAAAGTAGTTTAAAGAAAAAGGAATAGATATCGAGAAACAATATATGATGAGCTTAGGCATAAAAAGAATTCTAGACACATGCTAGTATGTTAAATTTAAGTCATCGACTTTTCTAAATGGGTTTTGGTTCTAAGATTACAACACAGAACTGTTTGCAGTTCTTTGATGCCTGTTATCACGTTTTAATACATTGGGTTCCTTGAAGACGAGCTCATAGATTCAACATTTATAATGTAGATATAACATTAAGTTCTGACAAGATGACTGTCATTTAAGAATTTGTGAAAGTTTGTATTTGAAGATAAAGGTACTTAAAGTCACAAATATCCAGAAAAATGCAAAAAACTATTTTTAAAAAACAAACAAAACAAAACATAAAAACATATTGATATTTTTATTTGCATTTTGTAGGACAATTCGTATAGGGAAAAATTTTAAAAATTGTGAAATAAATATCAAATCGGATAGCTACTTTATAATGTAAAATTTGCACATTTTCATTGCTCCCCATTTTAGTCGTACACTAGGTAAAGCGTAAATAAGAATTTCAGAATTGATTACCTAATTATTTGCCAATGAGAGTTTTGGGACCCTTTTTCGAAATACTGGTACTTACTCTAAAACCCAGAGTGGTTAATTTATTGTTAAATATATGTAGAAGATACAATTTAAATGGGGCTTTTTTCAGAATAAGTGTGAATTTATTTGAATAACGTGGTCATTATTTGAATTGCTCAATGTCAGTATTACTTGTAGAAAGACGATTCAAAACACTGAAATAGAAGGCAACTTAGGTAGAGAACGAATTGAATTCGTTGAACATGACGCATGAGATATCCGCAAACATGTGGATATGTTTGCTTTTACCTGTCTATGTGCAAAGTTCCAACCCAGACTGACGAGGTTAGTTCCATTAAATCCAATGTAATCACTCTGAATGGACGTTTTCAACGGATTCTTTATTTCGTCTTTTATCTGTAAAATATATTTGCAGACGTAAATAACTTTCAAACTACTGAGTCAAGCGAAAAGGAAAAGTGAAAAACTAAAATGGTATGATTGAAAACATATTTCTAAGATAAAAAGTGTTCTATTTATTTAATTTTTACCGTGTTTGGAGAGCCGTAAAGGATTCCGACGAAAATGAGTTCTCCGACAAGTATAACAATGACGATGATCGCATAAGTAACCAACATAAATTTCACTTTACAACAGGCCCCACAGCATCCAAAAATTGTAATAATCAACAGAAAAAGGCCTAGACCAACGAAAAAGTATCCTAATCCGCCAATCAAATCACTGATATTGAAGGAAGAAAAATCCACAGTGCCAAAGTTATTACTCTCCAACTGATTCTTCAACGAGTCGAGAACACCCTTATAGTAAGGTTCCAATACACTCTGTCCCACTAAGCATACTAATCCCAAGGCGAAAAACACCAGTCCAAGAATCTGCAATGAAGAAGACATTTTTTTCGTGACGTGATTAAAACTTTTATTTTTTTTTTCTGTGTTAATTTTGCTATTGTGTTCAATATTTATTTTTTTTTGCTTCCATTTCAAACAACACATGCACCGGAATTTCAGACCGTTTCATAAGTTACAAAAACCAAATTAGTTATCGAATTATTGGCAAGATGTACGATACATATTGTTATAACATAATTTGTGTATAAATTTAGAAGGAATGTTGTGTACTGGCTCAAAATGTCACTTGCTTTAAGTCCGATTTGCTTTCGCCAAGATGACCTTTCAGTCAAATTAAGCCTCATACAGATTTCAAAAAAAGTTCTATGAATAAAATAAGATAATATGAGGAATCATCAAATTGAAGGTAATGAGTTTGAAAAATGAAAAATTCGAAAGTATAGATTTCATCTTTTCTATTTTAATGTATGTTTTACATTCTACCAGAATATCAATATATATTGTCGAAATGTAACCATATTTATTTTTATTCTGTATCTTAAGATATAAAGGTAAAGACCTGTTAGTTAAAAAGTTATTACATGTAATTTCTTAAAATCTTCAGCGAATTCCCATCTTTTAACTCATAGGGAAGCTCAAACATGACACATTATATTTATCATAGCTCGCCTGTTGCAAAGTAGATTGCGTCAAACTTGCTCAATTTATCTTCCGTATTTCACAATACTAGATCTACTTCATAGAAAGACAATACAAACTTTGCTATTGGTTTAATGGGATTAGCAATCCATTTACATATCTATAGATGCACTGGAAACATTTTCTACATAAAAAAGTGTACTTGTGTAAAACGTTATGAAAATGTACTATTTTTATTGATTTAAACGTTCAAGATGACTACATGTGAATAATTATCATTATCTCTCCTCCCCCTCCTCAATAAGTGGTATGAAATATACATGTAGAATATAAGTGAATTTTAAAAATAGCTTATCTTGGACTTCGAGACTTCTAATTCTCTCTCTTTGACACAAAAACAAAGATTCCTTTGGCCTACAAGGGGATTATTTGCACCAAACTTGGTAAGCATGCTACCAACATCATTGGAAACTTGACCATGCAAGTGTGAATGTAAATGTAGATGTAAACTTTGACGATATAAACAAGAAAAATAAACTATCCGAAAGGACATTCGTGTGATTGAAGTATTAAAAATGAGTGTATATTAATTTAATAAATCCCTTTCTCTTTGGCTATAAAATAGACAACTTTGTAGTCATTTGTTGAAATGTCTCTTTGTATTAAGCATAATTTATTTTTTATACCTAAAAAGTTTTTTATTAATACATGTATAACTGACTTTCTTCTAAAAAATTTGGGGATCTTACAAGTAATGTAAAATGAAATAGAGAATAACGTATAAAAATAAGTAACTTCTGATATTTGCCATGTAAAAACAAATATTTTTTGTTAGCATTATTTTTATTTCTTATTGATTACAATATGGTATACTTACCAGAAATATGATGTTTATGACAACAATAAGAACACGCCCTAGGCCCACCAGACAACTCATTTTTACGATCTGCTCTCTTGTCAACCTGTGAAAAGAAAAAGAAAGAAGCCAGGAAGTTTAAACTGCAACTCCTCTCAGTATCTATGATATAAAACAGGAACTTAAGATAATAGTACGGTAATTTATACACAACACATTAAATGGTGGTCAGGGTTTATTTTTAGAATATTATAGAATATTACACTTAAATCATCTAACTGTTTATTTGAGTTATGATGGCAATGTTAAATCAAGCTTTTAATTAAGCAACTTTTGATTAAATATGGAAACTCAATATCTGTTTTCTTTCTGTTTTCTTTCTATGAATTAAAGTGCTATTGCTAGAGTCCATATTTTCAATACGTGAATGCCCTCAATTACCATATAGAGCAATGATCGATAGCTTTTTTTTTATTGGTTCTTTTATTAAAAACGGCAAGGCCACTGAGGCAAAAAAGAAGTATTTTTTTGTACCGAAACATGCATTTTTAAACAAGTTTGTAATAAATTTCTGTAAATGTAATTATCATGGAAGTTTGCGAGAGGACAAATATTTCATTTATATTTCATATTGATTTCTTTTTTCTTTTTTTTTTATCAACCCAATACAACTTACACATTTTCGATGAATGATATATAATTTCTCAAAAAAAAAAAAAAAAAAAAAAAAAAAAAAAAAAACGGCTGAATTTGCACAATTAATAAAATATCACACCTTTTAATTTTCCAAGCCGAATTATGAAAAAATCTTTTGATTGATTTTTTTGCAGGAACACTGGTAAGTGTTAAGTTACCTCCTTATAAATCCTAAACATCTGTTGTCTTTCACTACAATCTTTCTATTCGATACCGTGTCATGCATACCATTGTTAAAACGGCATGTTAAAACACGAATACTCGATTATTGATTATACATGTACTAGAGTCCTTAAAAATGTTTTCCATAAATGCGATCAATGAACTTACTTTTTGATTTTTCCAGTCCTTAAATTTAAGTTTTAAAGAAAATAGTCTTAAATTATAACTAGAGACAAACTAACAACGTATAATAAACTGAAAATAATAAATCTATCCTCTGTACAGAATTAATTTCCAGAGTAGGTGATATGGTTATATATTTATTATTGACAATTCTTTTAAATGCCAGTTTTGTGGCATATTAATTTACAAAAAATTAATGAAGCATAGTTATGCAGCATAGTAACCAGTTTTCAATTCTTAAATACATATTAGCCTAGCAGGGTACCATCGTATATGATGTCAAATGTAATTTTCAACAAGTCTTAACTTTATTAACACTTGAGTGTGTTGATTGGCAAAGAATTAATATATATTTTGAAGAGATTATTGTCAGACTCTAGATGAATCAATTCCAAACTTCATAATTTATTAAATACTTTAATCAATTCATTTTTGTCTTTTTGCAGATTGAAAACAGTGAAGGCTATTTTCTACGGTAAAATTCATTTGCAATGAGAAATTTTGCATGTATTCACAAAAGAGAATCAGCAGACGGTATAATGAACAATAAATGAAAAAGAAGACAACAAACAGCGACCGACCTTTAAAAAAATCCACAAACAATACAAATCCGTTAACAGGGCAGAAAAAACATGGACCTCGAGAAATTCTAGAGGTGGGATCAGGTGCCTATGAGGAGTAAGCATCCCCTGTCGACCGGACACAACAGCCGTGAGCCCTATGTATTGTTCCGGTAGACGAAACATTCCGCAGTCCATTTAAAATTAAAAAAAAAAGCAAAAGCCTTACAATTGGGATGAAACACATCAGCCAAAATACGATCCAATGATAGGTTATATTTGCTAACAAAGTCATTATAACGACCCTAGATTTTATGAAGAATGCTGACTTTAAACGAGGTTGTTGAAATCCCTGTAACATCAACTTATCTGGCAGTAGCCTGCTCAGATCATGGTGTTGAGTATCGAATAAATTGGAAGAAGTAAACACCATATGCAGGTGATAGTGATAACGGAGTAGTACTATATAAATGAGGAAAATTGACGAAAGAAATGTTGTCATCTCGTTGGTCACACAATTTAGCTGTTATTTTTCCCTTCTATAGTCAGTGAAACACCAAATATGAAACAGATGAAGCAGACTCTGTGGTGTCTTTTAATTTGCGTTAACTGGGATATATTAATCGATTGATTGATTGCATTGATTTTGCTTTACTTCCCAATCGAGAATTGTTCACTCATACAGAGACGTCACCGTATGCCGGTGAAGGGCTTTCAAATTTAGACAATTCAGGACTATTGAGAAGTGAGGGTTCATAATCGTGCCAATGTCGACTGTGACACGTGACCTCGGTTTTTAAGATCTCATCCGAAGCACCTGTAACTTTCACTTCTAATGCGGGAGCTTGGCGAAGGAACGGTCACTACCGATGTTTACATCTAACGTCGAACGAGAGATGTATCGAGTCGATATATATGAATGAAGGTAACTATTGTTAATTATAATATATCGTCGATATATCTGAATATGGGGTTGAAGGCCACAACAAGTGTTTGATTTTTTTAAAAATAAATTCTGCTTCATTAGAAACTAAAAACAGATCGGCTTATAAAGGATCACAATTAGTGCCCATCTGATTCCAAAAGTTTGTAGGAAGACCTAGTCTCTAAAGACATAAATGTTGTCAAAAGAACTCCGGTATCCTTTTAATATCAACATCAGAGTACTTGTGTTAGAATCGAAGTGTTTTTAACAAAGTAATTTTGTAGATGACAATTACAAGATACGAAAATTTCCAAATCCATTTTTATTGAAGGAGCAGTTGTCTATGAAATCATAAAACCTAGTTTTAATTTATCCTCAGAAACAATCGTACAAAGAGTAGGGAAAAAAAGTAATGGATCCTCATAACCTCAAACAATTGGCTTTAAAAACATTAACTTAATTATATGCTTTTGTATCTTTACAGACAACATTCATGGATGCTTTACAAGCTTTATACAGTCAAGCCTCGTTATCCCGAACTCGATGGGACGGCAAAAAAAATCGACGAGGATTCGAGATACCGAAGGTAAAATACTTAAAGAATAAGCGGTTAGGACTTCCAAATCCCTTCGACATATCAATGGTATTCCAAATATCAGTGTTGGGCACTGTTTGGCACTCTCTCTCTCTCTCTCTCTCTCTCTCTCTCTCTCTATATATATATATATATATATATATAATTTAATTTTGTTTGTATTCTAGCCTTTGATTGGTTAATATCCAAAAAGGAACACAAATTATTTCTGTATAACCTGCTTTGGTATGGGGACCCACCCCCCTGACAACCAGCTGATTCATCTGTATCCATACAATCCTCTCATTTCCAGTCCTCGGGATTCATGGGAAATTCCAGATTTAATAAATGTACCTTTAACTTCAAACAATAATTCGGTCTTTCCACATGTTAACAAGCTGCTAGGCCTATGTATCAGTTTTTACCTCCCCTCGCTTCCCATCACTTCCGTTACTTCCGTAACTACGGTTGTATTATTGAGCGGCAAATTTGAACTAATAAAAAGCAACGAAATTTTACACCCATAGTTATTTCATGATTTTAAAATTAAATTATAAGGAATGACTCTAATTCTTGGCCAAATTATTCGAGTATAACCTGGTTTGGGTCAGTTTACGCTGTTTTATAATCCGCTTCGCGGATTATAAAGCGTAAACTGACCCAAACCAGGTTATACTCGAATAATTTGGCCAAGAATTAGAGTCATTCCTAAAATATATATATATATATATATATTTAAGAAATAAGGTATCATTTTTAAACATCTATCGGGATATAAATACGGGTTGGTCACGAGATCAAATTCCATAAAGCCCGAAGGGCTTTATGGTAAATTTGATCTCGTACCAACCCGTATTTATAGCCCGATAGATGTTTAAAAATGATACCTTATTACTTATATTTACATTTGTGACTTATTCATATTTTATATTTGCCTGATTGTAATCTTTAACGCGTGAAACGTTTTATTTTTCAAACCCAACGGCACGTGTTTGATCCTCTGATTGCGCGTCGACCCTTTATGACGTCACTGAGAAATTACGTCGAACGTTTATGACGCGAGGAACCCGTGTTTATACGGATATAGATACGCATTGCTTTCAATAGTGTTATATAAAAGAAAACATTTGCAAATGTAAATATATCCGTATAAACACGGGTTCCTTGCGTCATTAACGTTCGACGTAATTTCTCAGTGACGTCATATAGGGTCGACGCGCAATCAATGGATCAAATACTTGCCGTTGAGTTTGAAAAATAAAACATTTCACGCGTTAAAGATTATTATCAGGAAAATTTAAAATATGAATAAGTCATAAATGTAAATATAAGTAATAATGTATCATTTTTAAACACCTATCGGGATATAAATACGAATTGGTAGGAGATCAAATTTACCATAAAGCCCTTCGGGCTTTTTGGAATTTGATCTCTTGACCAACCCGTATTCATATCCCGGTCCCAAGACCATAAACTGAGAACAGACTTAAGTCAAAATTTCAAATCAATATAATTCCTGAATTAATTCTGATAATGAAACAAAATTTATAACATGTGTATAAATTTGTGTATTAAACAAACCTGCAAATTTTTATGCACATATGTTAAATAAAACTTAGGATATTAAAAATCAAAAAATTTTGAGGCCTGGATAGAGGTTTAAAAATGATACATTATTTTTTAAATATATAAGCCTTTATAAATTAATAATAAACATTCATTAAAATATGTCTCTTTTTTCAACAACAACAATCATAAGAGCATTAATAACTTTATAAAACAATACTCATATATGCTTCTTTATAAAAGTTATTTAAGGAATCACTGTCTAGTTAGTAGAGTGTGCCAGGGCATCAACGATAGTTGGAAACGTGGGACAATTTGTATAACGGACGAAGCCCGTTATGCATTAATTATCCCACGTTTCCAACTATCGTTGATGTCCCTGGCATACTCTACTAACTAGACAGTGATTCCTTATATTTCCATTTCATTGTGAAATAAAATTGTAAATTTAGATTTTAAAAATGTAGACTAATAGATTTAAATTATACGAGGCCTCACATGGCAATTTCAATAATCCCCGCCCACTGAGTCAAACACAAAGACAGCCGCACGAGAATTACATGCATATTAGGCCTCCTGAGAGTCAGACACAGACACCCGCACGATAATTACATGCATATTAGGCCTTCTTAGCTCCTGACCTTTCGCTTGGCGAAATTTGCATTCCGGTAGAATGATCAAGAAATCAACTCTCCTAACTTTCAAAGAGTTATCACAGAGAAAACAAATAGAAATGGAAATATCTGATGTTGTAGAGCAAAATCCAATTTTAAAAAAAACCACATGAGAGTTTTTCTTTAGGTGCACGATCATGGAATGAAATCAACAAGTTTAACCTGAGTTGTGTTGAAAAGGTCTGGTATTTGTTTAATTGTATATAAATAGTTAGGTTAGTTAAAGTACGAAGTTTAACTGAAATCCGTGACTTCTTCAAAAGAAATATCCAATTCTAGAGACCAAGAGTATAAAGATTTATCTATTCATTTCTATACAATTAAGAGCTGTTTAAATGCCCTGGACTTGGTTTTTATATGAATAACATGTCAAAAAGAAATAGCTTGATTTCAAATGTGGCATGATAAAGACATAACTTTAATAACACTGTTTCAACTTTTCCATGTCAACGTCAATAGAAGTTCTGAAAATAAAATTCCTATCATACATCTATGCTCAATGGAGAAGGAGAAAGATATGTATTGAAATTTGAACTAATGTCACATAGGTTCGCATATTGGCTTGTCAGACAAAATGAAGTATGTTTTTATAAATACAAATGAGAGATCAAAAGGGTCATGCAAAGTATTGTGATTTTAAATAATTACCTTGGCAAAATTATCTTGAATTTCGACTTAAAGAAAAGAGAAGTAAATAAAGCATACGTGTGAGGATATGTTCAAAATGTAGATACTAATTTTCAACAAACTTCCTTCTCAAGCATGATCAAATTAAGTTCTTCTTCCAGTAGAACTCTGGGTTGGTGACAAAAGAGAAAAGCCAAGGAACATAAGCTAACAAGATGTGAAAGCTGTACACATAAAATATTAAGGGGCTTCATTGAATCTGCAATAAATAATCGTATTTGCCGAATACCGTTTTAGCTATAAGGACCGGGTTTGATGGCAATAGCTACAATGTTAATATACATGTAAAAACATGAATAATGTATCAAAAACACTTTATTGATGTTGAATGAGGCTCTTGAGTATTTTAGATCACAATGAGCTAATTCTGTTTTAATGAATTAAGGTAACTTTACCAACACAATTTATGACTGTATGTTTCTTTCCTTTATATTTTCATGCTTAAGAGAGGAATTATACCCCAATGGGAAACATTTTGAAATCTTGTTGTATTCCCTGATTATTCTGTATTTTAGTTCAATGAGATATATACGTTCACTCCAAAAGAATAATTCATGAGTGAGTCTCCTGACATAGATGAAGCGGTATATAATATGATAAAGATTATAGTATTTCACGTTGAGTTTCTCGTCAATAGTATTGGCAGAAATAGGGCGCATGTTGAGAACAGGTAATACATACAGGTGAAGCAGGAACAGGAGAGGAGAAGAAAGACTAAGGGATCGATTATAGAGTTTTTATCCTCACACGATATTCAATCACTACTCGAAACGTAATTATCATTTGATGTTCATTGACAAATCAGGTTCAATAATTCAACATACTACATAAAATGAACCAATTTCAGATAAGAAAATAACATTACGTTATTGTAGAAAGTCTGAAAAACGCACGAAAAAACCTTTACGTCGAGCATTTAGAATAGGTTTGTTAAAATACTTTTCTTCATATGTTATTATATGATGTAGATAAAATCCGAAAAACTTGAGGGATACAGAGGAAATTCAATATTTTGTGGTTGGATATGGAATTTGTTGGGACATTATTTTAAAAAATATTTATATATAACGAGTGCAAAGAGAGATGATCTCATCCAATATTCAGAGAGCAATACAAAACTTTTTCCATATGGTTCCCCCATATAAACCCGAGAACCAAATGCATGTATCGGTCCGACGAGCGAGGGTTAGTGCTAAGTTTCAACTTGCACCTCATTTCTGCAAATTTTAATGTTGAAAAATGTAGAATACTATGATAAGAATTATATTCTCTGCAAAAATATCACTTTTATTAAAAAATAAATTACTTTTTTTACGGTCGAAAATGTAATAAATATCTATAATTTCAAATTGTATTATATTTTTAAAAAGTAAAAATACGTCATAATCAAATAAAAAAAAAAAGGGAAGTTATTACTATTAATTCAATTTTGGTAATCTTCAGTTTATATATTACATTACTAAGCATGTACATGTATTTAACAAAATAAGACATCCCCTTTTTCTTATTACCTCCCACATCAACCATCCTCTAGCTCTCGTCCTTTGGACTGATTCATATACTGTGTTCTCGGGTTGATATGGGAGAGATATGGAGAAAGTGGTGTATTGTTCTCTGAATATTGGCATTATGGGGGTCCATATTACTTCAACCACTTTCATATTCATGTCTGGTGGGAAAAGAAAATTCTTCAGCATCTGTCCTGCAGAAAAATATAACAATGTAAAAATCAATTTACTCTTCTCGAATCGATTTCCATAAATGGCGACCAGAAAATTGGAGTTCTGAGTGAAATATCGATTTTTCTTTACAAATAGAAATGCTACTTATTAAAATATACACGGGACAATGCAATAATTCATATTTTTTCAGACATTAGATACAGAATTTCGAATGTTTACCTCGATTAGTCTGTTTCTAATGTTACAAAAATATGGGATTACAATTTTAGTTTATTTAAAAAGATATATATATATATATATATATATATATATATATATATATATATATATATATATATATATATATATATATATATATATATATATATATATATACTGAATTATCAATCAATACTTCATGAAAAGATAGATAGACATTTTAATTATACGAAATATTTTAAGCAGTTAATAACCAGCACATCTTCAGTCATGTAATTTTACTTTCTCAACATAAGGTTTTATCTCATGAACACCAGTCTTTTGTGTAATGCTTTTATATTTGTTCATTGAGCGTACATGTAATTGGCAAGTCGTGTGATTTCCTTCGTGGAAGTAGGGACAATTTGTCCAAAGACACGCAACCTTGAGATCAGAAAGCCAACACTTATCGACCTAGCTGCATAATAGATTTAAGAAATGAGTTTACAGCATCTTTAAAAAGTTTTTCATAAACTGAAAATCATTTGACTTAACTGTTAATGGATTTTCCCTCAAAAAGTTTAAAAACTAAAGAAAAACCTATAAAAGTAATGTTTTGCAGGAGCCCTTTTGAGTGTTGTGAATTTGTTAAGGATTGTTTTAAATAACAAGAATTGCGTCATTTAGAAAACAATTCGAAAAAGAGATACAATATATTGTTGTATCTCAATTTCTTTACTAGGGGAAAAGTACCAAAAACGTTAGATAAAATTTAACATACAACTTAAAGACATTATCAAAGATAATATTCAGATTAATATACCCCAATTTAAAGTAGAATATATTTACCTGTACAAAGTTTATTCCTTCAGAAAATTTCGCAAGTGGTGAATCGTGGGGCCTGAAGTAGGTGAACTGCGTCAATGTGTGTGTTCAAACAGAGGCTGTTTATTGGAACTGTTTAAAGAGTCCCTGTGTAGGTATTGATCAATATCTTCCCATTCAGGGAGGAGTGAGGGTCATATTTTTAAAAAGAAACCCAGCCTTTTAATTTAAAGGGTATTTCTTTTTAACAGAATTGCAAATTTCATTAGAATTCTTTTTGTTCATTGGAGAAAAAGGATACCTTTTGCATAATGAATTAACAAAGGCGTTTTATTTCTTATTATTAAATCTACCTGTAGATTAATAAGTTACAGAGGTTGTTTTAGTTTCCGACCTAGTCAATACATAGTGTATTACATTTAAAAATACCGTTACTAATTTAAATAAACCTGACCTACGTTAGGGGTGACTTTGAGAATAGTAAGCAGGCATGTATTGTTATATTATTGGAAGCTGACAAGGAAGGAAAATTGAGGAAATCTATTGAAATGTCAAGACTGTAAACAAGAGGTAGCCATATCTTCAACAGGTTCAGAACATGATCTAAAATAATGTTTGTTTTTATATTGAATCATAGATATTCATATTTTGTGCTATAAGTACATGTATATGTACATCATGATTTATTTCCATACTCAAAACAAGCTGGAAACTATCTTTCTTATCAGTTGTTTGGTATAACATTTTCTATTTTTATGATAAAACAACATAGAAATATCGAAAATACTTCATACTGACCAATTTTTGAACAGTAACTATTTGTATTATCGGCAGACAATGGTCTAGCAGGCATGTTTTCTACACTATTTTCATGAATTACCAAAACGTATGTACAATCTTCCTCGTTTTAACAGCTTTCTTGTCGTATTCATAAGCTTTGAAAAAAAACTTATATTAATATCCACTATACAAAAATAATGGCAAATTATGTCAATCATGATTCCTCTGTTACGGGAATACGCAATTTCTCTTTCGGTTTTAAAGTTGTGTTCTATACAGTATTTTGTCCTGTTTCGTAAAAATTACACTGCAGTTCGAATCAAATTTAAAAAAAGCCATTTAATGGTCAAATATGAAAGCAGAAAAAAATCATTTTAAAAAGCGTCCACGTATTTGTACCATTCGAGCAAAATGTACAGGAATTGTGTTTTGGAAATTAGTTTCAGGCATATTGCCTATGCCTGTATATTCAACACATAAAATATTTAAAATGAATAAATGTAGTGATGGACTTAATGTTTTAAAAAAAGCAAAAAAAAAAAAAAAAAAAAAATGATTCGGATTTTTATGGATTTTTTTCAGAGTAAAAGTGTCCGAGAAATCATAAGCTGCCAGTAAAGCTCTTCTTTCGCTATTTTCGTTGAAAATGAAACCGCAAAAATTAAAGACATGAAAACTTTAAATATTGGATTTGAAAGAAGAAAAACGCAAATTGAAGAAAGGGTTAAAGCTGATTTTGTAAAGAAAGCGTAAAGATTCGCGAGAGAGGGGGAGAGAGTTCTCCATATTGCTCATCATGAATATACCATGGGGCAAGAGGATAATATGCATAAACCGTCAATCATACTAGAAATTACTATGAATCAAAGGGACATTCAGTTCCAGCGTTATATTTTAATTTAAATTCTTTCTTGTTGCTAACCTTACCTAACGGCCATTCTTAATGTGACATATTAACACTGACATTTTCAGATATGTTACTGCGTTAGATTTTTTCCCTCTCATTGCATAAGATTTGCCGTTTAAAGTCCAATGCACTATTAAAATTAAAATGTCAAATACATGTTTAAGGTCATTTATAGAATGTAAACAATCTCTTCTGGATGTTAAATGCTAATATTAGTACATTTTATACTGCTTAAATGGTGTAATGGAGGTCAGTCATATAATATTTATGGATAATTAATTTTAAAGTCAAGAAAAGTTTAACTTGCTGAACTTGTAATGGTGAAAAAGGTGAGCATTGGTACATTTGTGAGTACAATAGTGATACAATGATAATCCTCATTAATAATGTGTCTGTCTTTTGTAATGCGTCGAATCAACACACCAAAATCTTCCTCTTACAGAACATCGTTCTAGAATCCTTCTGTCCATTTGACTCATTGTCTAATGGATAGAGTTTATGCTCTTTACTCTACATTCAGACTTGAAGACCTCAGCCTAGAGTCAGAAAGTTCCCCAATCACAAAGTCGTAACTCCTCGTGTTAATCATACCCGTACTACTACTGAAATGCCCCCGACGTGGAATGTTCCCCAAATGTGGTCTCGATGCTCGAATCATTCTGGTACTACCCACCCTGTTACTTCCGGCTGTCTCGGTAAACATGTCTGGTTCTTCCGGTTCTCTGGCGGAGGTGGCTTGACAATCGTCAGTACGATTCTCTTGTGGTTCCTCATCATATCGGAAACCTGCATCTGGTGTTCTAGCTATAGATTCACCTTCCTCAGATGATCGCTGGAAGTGAAAGAAAGAAATGATTGAAAAATATCTTACTTTTATGAACATTGCAGCAAGATATATTTTTTAAAATTAATGATACATAATTAAAACTGTGATATTTATTTTCATTCATACGTTGATTCGATTTATCCCATTAAACTCGAAATAAAAGACACCACGGTGTTTGACACATCTGCTTCATTTTTTGATATTTTACTAGAGAAAGACATAGATAACTAACAAACAAACTCTATGATGAACGTGATGACTTCAACTTTTCTATCGTCAACTTCCCTAATTGCGTAAGCAATATACCATTATCACCTGCATATGGGGTTTATGTCTCCCAGTTGAATCAGTACTCAGGAGCAAGTTTTTCACCAAAACAAAAACTTTAAAAAAGAGACAGACTACTGAAAAATAAGTTGATAAAATAAGGGTATCTACAATTTTTTACGGTCAAAATTCCGCAAACTCTATGGTAGATACAATGACCTTGTTAGGAATACTAAAATAAATTGTTGTTAGTTCGGATGTTCACTGACATTTTCACACTGAATGATTCAAATACCCATTAATGACAAAGTGTCACTGATCAACAGTTGATGCTTACCCCTCAGTGGAACCTGATCCCACCTCTCATGTTTTCAGAGGTCTTCGGACACGCGGGTGTCACTGATCAACAGGGGATGCTTACCCTTCAATGGAACCTGATCCCATCTCTGATGTTTTCAGAGGTCTTCGAACACGCAGGTGTCACTGATCAACAGGGGATGCTTACCCTTCAATGGAACCTGATCCCATCTCTGATGTTTTCAGAGGTCTTCGGACTTTTGAGCATGATTATTGTTCGTTATCTTCCCTTTCAATTAGTACAAGTTAGAACAATGTTCTGTCATGGATATACTTCATACAGTTGCATTGGGATTAGATGTGCACTGTTTAAATTATTTCCTTTACCTCTTCATAACAACATTTTATCATTTTGTTGTAAATCATTACTTTTTTTTTTTAATTTATCTCCATGGCATTATTGCGATCGGCTTTCTTCTCAATGAAAATATCAAGGATCATATTATTCAATGTTAAAAAAAACCTTTCTTATTATCCATCAAAGGGAAAGTAGAAACATTACAAATATTGCAAATTGACTTTACACCTGAAAGGCATAAACGCATTAAAGATATCCAATCTCAAATCCAATCAAAGATATTACTTAATTCCCATACCCTCCGGCGGTACAATTTAGACCTTCCTGGTGAGAGATTATTCTGAACTTCTCTACAATTTGTGCAATTGTTGTCATCAGAAGTTCTAGGAGAGTCAGAGAGAGAAATTTCAGCCATTGGTGTACGAACGTCACTTCCGATAGTATTGGTTGAGGCGTCAACACTACAACGGGAATATGGTGGTGGATCATGAATTTGCAATGAGGGAGGATGTTCTCCCACAAAGGTTGGTGGGTATATCTGAGTGTGTGAAGTGGGGTAGGCGGATGACTGTTGAAGGGGATTATGGAAAACATTAGTATTCATTGGAAAACTGGAGTAAAACTGACCCATATTCGTTTGATATCTATCATAAGGCATAAAGCCATGATTTGACTGCGTTGAGTAAGGGTGCGAGTTTCCAGACATCAGTGCATTCATTTGTAGATAGTTTGGAAATGGCTGTTGAGCTTGTATTTGCTGGGGTTGCATCATCATGTTTCCCAAAATACCACCAACATAGTTCTGTGATGCACCATGATTGTTCTGAACCAATCGAGGTGTTCCTTGCGCTTGATGGAGGTTTTGAACAAGATTTTGTATAGAAGGTATTTGGTCAGCTCTTTGTTGGACAACAGGGCAGTTATTGGAGCGAGATGCCAGACCTCCTATTAGAGCAGAAATTGCATTATTTTGAGTGTTATTATTCGTTTCAGAGCTCCCTCTCAAGTTTTGAACAAGAGCAGCCAGAGCTTGAAGGCGACTGTTATTGTTGTTCCTTGTACCGTTATTGTTACTTCGATTATTTCTATTGCTATTTTCACCATCTTTATCATTTTTGTTATTCTTGTTCCGATTGGTGTTGCTAGTTTTGTTGCTGTTTTCATTGTTGGCGCTTTCACCACGACTTTTCTTTGAAGCACTTTTATTTTTGTTTTTCTTGCCGTCTGTTTTGTTCTCGGAGTTTGGTCCACCATTAGCTGAGGACGTCTGAGGAGCGAGGCCTATCTCATTTATTAATTGCGTGGCTTGTTCCTCGTTCTCCGCTTCTTCATCCTCCTCCTCGGAGTCCGTGTCATTTTCTTCCTCCTCCTTTTTCTTCTTCTCCTTCGCTTCCTTAGAAACAGCTCGTGTCAACCAAAACGAGAAGAAAATAAGCGTCAACTGAATGAAATAATGACATATTTGTCAGTAAAATCAAACTTAAAAATAAAATCAAACCATGTGTCTGTTAAAAAAAAACATTTGAACTGTACCTCAAATACTCCAACGGTTCCTAAACAACCGAATGAAATTCCATTCTGTTCTTCTATGATGATCCATAAAGCTTTGTAGCAACCCTATGTAAAAGTGAATAGATAATCATAAGCTTCAATAATATTACATTTCTTTAAAATATTTTCTGTCTACTATATATTTTGATCTCCTTTCGGGCTTCTTGAACAACATTTCAAGATACACATAATGTTATAAATCTG